GATAGAATAAGAGTTAGATTAAGGGGATAAATTAAGGGGATAGAAAAGGGAATAGAATAAGGGATAGAATAAGGGATAGGTTAAGGAATAGAATAAGGGTTGGAGTAAGGGATAGAATAAGGGGATATATATAGATTAAGGAATTAGAAAAAGGGGTTAGAATAAGGGGATAGATTAAACGAATAGAATAAGGGGATAGATTAAGGATTAGCTTAAGGGGTAGAATAAGGAGTTAGATTAATGGGATAGAATAAGCGGATATATATAGATTAAGGAGATAGAATAAGGGGTTAGAATACGGGGTTAGATTAAGGGGATAGAATAAGGGGATAGAATAAAGGGTTAGATTAAAGGGATAGAATAAGGGGATAGATTAAGGGGACAGAATAAGCGGATATATATAGATTAAGGAGATAGAATAAGGGGTTAGATTATGGTGATAGATTAAGGGGATAGATATAGATTAAGGAGTTAGAATAAGGGGTTAGATTAAGAGGATAGATATAGATTAAAGTGTTAGAATAAGACGGCAGTTATAGGTCAGTGAATCGTTTTGTAAGTAGTTGTGGAAAACCTATACAAGATTTTCGAAGTCTCGGAAACCTCAACTGGGTTTCTGGGCCCTGAGGTTTTTTGTTTGCGCTGAAGCGTTTCCGAGAGCTCGGAAACCCTTTCTCGGAAACCTATAAAGGGTTTCATATAGTGACAAACCCGGAAACCCTCTATAGGTTTCCAAGAGTACCTTTTTTTTTTAGAGTGTATGAAGATTCTTTGCCATACTATACTGAAAAGAAAATTAAAGCAAAAATTTTGCACCAACTGTTAGAAATTACTATATGGATCATATAGAATACTCTTATTTCGTCTGAATAAGGGATATTTTAGCCTGGTAAAAGCGAAAGATTATGGAAACTTTGAGAAAGCAACTGACCCTAAGGAAGCATAATTTGATATATGCATGAAGTACTTGAGAATCTTGGGCAAGAAACTTAGGTGCTATAGATAAATCTTGAGATCTATTCAGCTGGAGCAGATGAAGAAAAGTTCGCCTGTTGTGACTATATAGTGGTAAGGGAGTGAAACAATATAGATTACAATATTTGAAATAAAATATCGGAATGTATCAATTTTATGTGCATTCTAAGTAAATATTTTGTATGTGTTTGAAAACGAGATTTATAGTTTCGTAAAAGAAGAATCTTGATAAGTATCAATCGAAATTTTAATTTTAACTGTTCTCTATCGATTTCTGTTGTTAATGAAGATATATCGATAATAACTTTATCATTCGTTGATGGTGGTGAAAGATCAACACTAGTCATTCAAGGTAATTTAATAACACATGTAATATTATACTAAAGCAAAGACAAAAATCAAATTCATTATATCCAGAAAATAAATCAAATTCTTGGTCACGAAAAATTAATTTGTAAATAGAATAAGATGGTGCTTTGTTTTGTGGATTGTGCCAATCATAATAAGTTGATTTATGAACAGAAAAACAATTCATTCTTCTTCACTTTACTAAAATGACTGTAATATAGTTACTACGTCTATTCTGTTTATATTTGCTTTCATTCGATACATCGTTAATCTGTGTTATCAATACTTATTCATGTCTCTATCCGTTATTTTACAATAAAAGAAAAATGTCACGAAATGTGTTGACATTTAAGGATCGAATAGAAAATTGGGTTAGATTTTCCTTTGCACGAGAATTAGAAATAGCTCATTTCCTTTTTTCGAGATATATCTGACATTTAAAACCGTTTACACCTAATAATGCTTCGAACATTTTCGTATATATAGTCTCTTATGTATATAAATTATAAATGGGGTAGAATATGAATTCTTGACAATCTAGTAACATGCTCCTACATAATGTTATCATGTAATTACATGATGCTAACCTTTATATTTCTATTAGACGATTAAAGTGTAATGAAAATACACTGGTTGAGAAAAAAATCGGTTTACTTTGAATCATAGTAAAATAATCTACTCAAGTATTAGATTTTCTTGGAAAAAATGGAAATTTCAAGCGCTGCCGCGACGCACCGCGACGGTAAAAAATGAAAACTTGCCGCTGCCGCACCGCTACCGCCATAGCGAAAGCGGCGCGGCAACAGTAGCGGCAGTGGTAGCACCACCATGGACATCTCTCAGTCATCTTTATTATAGCATAATATATAACCGAGCCGAAGATCGAGGTACAACATTTCTATTTGAATTTTCTATATAAACGTGTGTATAAATAAAAATGTTTGACTTTCATATAATATCAATTACATTATTGTTAGAAAATTATAAATCAATTTTCTGATCTTTAATAGAAAAATTTTTAAATCAACCAAACTGTTTTCAATAAGTTTTTAATTGACGAGTTGACGTAAATTTGTTTTTTTTTCTTTTTTGTAGATATTTTCCATCTGTCCGAATATTCAACAAATGAGTCATTATTAAAATTATTCTTGATTAGAAAAAGAAAAATAATTTGCATTATTCCACTATAGGCAATTGCATAGACACTCAAAAATCGATGTTTACAAATCAAAGATATAAATCAATAAAATCTCTAACAATCAGTTTAGAAAAAAAAAAGAAACATCTAATTCATATAATCATAAGAAATTTCTAATATATATTTGATTTATTTATTTTTAAGAAAGAAAAAAAAGATTTTTTTTTTTGTTCTTAGTTGATTAATTAATTTAACAAGAGAGACAAAAAGATGAAATAAAGTTTATAATTGATTAATACCTTCAAAAATTATTATGTAACCCTATATTCATCTAATTGATCCATTTTTCGATCAACTGCACCAATTAATGCTTTTGCAACATAATCTCCAAATGAAAATGGATAATTATATCCTTGAATACGACGTACTTTTTCACGTTCAGTTTTATAATCATCAACAACATCAACATTTATCATTGTACGATCCCATTGTGATAAATAAGCTACACTTGATACATCATCTGTACAAGAAAGAAATGTTACATATGTTGTATTGGCTTGACGTTCATTACGCATTAAATTTTCTAAACCTTGTATATCAACATTACCATTTGGATCTGTTGGTTCTCCATCTGTAGCTACAAAAACAAGTAAACGTTTATCACTACGAGCTTTTATTGCTGCTGATTGAAATATTCGTCTTAAAGCTGGTGTAAGTGGTGTTAATCCATCTGGACGTTGACTAAATGATTCAGCAACTTGTCGTGAATCAGTTACATTAAGTATTGATGAACGATTAAGAAAATGTAGATCAACTCCATTTGAATCGAATACAGTAGCAATTTCAATAACTATTTGTACAATAGATAGTAATTCATCCCATCGAGTACGTATTGTTCCATCTACAGGTGTATTCATTGAACCTGAATCATCACAAAGTACAACTATTTCAAATTGTTGAAGTATATTAAGACGTTGAGCAAGTGTATCATTTATGTCATATCGAGCAGCTATTGTTCGAAGATCATTAGCTAAAAAATTATATATTAAATAAATGTTCTTTTGTTTTGTCTTATAAAAAATAAATATGGAAACCTCGGACTTAAGCCCGAGAGTTATGTGTACTTCAAAAAGTGAATGAGACAAATCAGTCATTCTAGAGTGCATGGATATACAAATTAGCTTGGCAAACCTTTTCTATAAACAATTGAATTTTATTGACTACTGCTCAACCAATAGGATTTGTGGTCGAATACAGCTCAGATTTGAACTCTTCGCCTTAATTTACCCACAGAAATTCGTTCTTTCTATAACTTGATTTCTATTGGTCAGTGCTCAACCAATAGGGCATCGAAACAAGTGGAGTACAAATTCGAGTTCTTCACTCCAGAAAACCTTCAAGAATCACCTCTTATTGGAAGATAGTGCTCTAATTGTCGATCAGTTAGAGCGTGGACAAGAACAGAACCGATTTCCGTTTATTTATCTTTGCAATAGGTGAGCTAGTATTCTTGTTTCTTTATGTTTTATATACCATTTTGTAGCTCGTAAAATTCTCTATCGAATGGTATATAATAGTTGGGGTTTTGTTTGAGTATGATAGGAAAAGTTTTTTACGAAAGCGGAGATGGGTCGATTTTCGCATAGGAAGCCATAGGAAAAAATGAGTACTTTTGCAATAACTCAGGAATGGTTCGGCCAATTCTTCTTATCTTCGAACTCGACCGAGACATTGTTAAGACTGAACTGTGTAGAAAATTTCATCGCGATTGGACTCTCCTTTCAAAAGTTATCGTGTTAACGGACGGACGGACATACTGACCGAATCTCGTGTGTACCCACTTTTTGAGTACACAATAACTCGCTAGCTGGTGATCCATATGAACCTGCATTATATACACCAGCTGTTAAAAAAAACAAGCACCTGAATACGAAAGACCCCTCACTGATTATCTCATTTGACTGATGAGAATCACTATTACCTCCGTATGGATATACATTCATTGACAATGATGATACTGGAGGCGTCTACAATAAAAAAATTTATATAGTTTCTTGTGAAGACTTTTTTGACAAGAAAGTTACTATATCTTCGACAATGCCAAGATTACGAGCTTGTTGAACCAATGTTGTTGGATCTAAAAGTGATCCTCTATAGCGGGCTACATAATCTTCCGGATTTGCATTAGTAGGATCAAGTTTTTCAAATTTTCGGGCTATACGCCCTTGAACATCTCCGTAAATAATAATAGTACAACTTGGTTTTGGATATTCTCTAGGAGGAGGAGCCGGTTGAACAATCTTACGGCGTTCAGTTGTTTGACGTCCGTACGGTATCCATCGTTCAATTATAATATCTCCTACATAGAAACAAAACAACAATCAGAAATTAAAAGCAAACAAAGAGAAAATGAAGATAATCGTTGTACGTGGTTTTTCTGGAAGAGGTGGATAACGTTCGATGACAACTGATCGTGGCGGAACAGGTATGGGAGGTAAGGTACGAATAACTGTAAAACAAAATATATTGATTAACCAAATCTATGTCGTTTGAATTTCTTATGTTTCTAACCTGTTTCATTTGGAAGTATTGGCGGTGGTGTTGGTGGTCGTTCACGTAAAATGAGTGCTGGTTGTGAGGAAAGAGGTGGTGGCTGTTCACGTATGATCAGTGGTGGAGGAGGTGGTGGCTGTTCTGGACGCACTTCTTTAATAATAATTGACTAAAATCATAAAAATACTGA